TTTTTACTTTCAATTTTATTTTTTTGGTTTACTTGTTTTTTTTCTTTTACAATATTTTGTTTTTTATTTTGTTAATATATAGATATTTCAATCTTGCAGATCTTTGTGCTTGTAATTTTTTTATTTTCTTTATTTTTTATTTATACGTAACAACCTGTTACACATCTTATTTAACAACTTTAACTTTTTTTTTTAGATGTGATTTTCTCTTGAAGTACGGTGTTCCTGAAGTATCTCTTTTACATTTTCAGTAAGTTTTTTTGTTAAATGATCTATTTTTTTCACTCTACTAACATTTCTTCTTTTCTTAGTGATTCTCTTTCAGATTTGGAGTTCTTAGAATATCTTGTAAGTCTTTATTAAATGGTTTTGATTTTTTTTTTTGCTTTACTAATATTTCTTGGTGATTTTCTTTTAGATTCAGTTTTTGGAATATTTCTTCAGCATTTTTGTTAAGTTTTTTCGTTGAGTGGTTTTATTTTTTCTCTTTTTCTCTCTTCTAACATAACTTCTTTTCTTTACTAGAAAAGTCTCTTTTAGGTTCAGGGTTCTTGAAGTATTTCTTCGGCATTTCTGGTAAGTCTTTTTGTTAAATTTTTTTTTTTGTTGTTTTACTAACATTTTTTCTTTTCTCTGTATTTCTCTTTTAAGTTCGGGCTTCTTGGAGTATTTCTTCAGCATTTTCAGTTTTAAAATATTTTTTCAGCGTTTCTAGGAAGTCTTCGTTAGATGATCTAATTTTTTTTTTATACTCTACTAACACTTTTTTTCTTTCTTGGTTATTCTCTTCCAAGTTTGGTTTCTTGGAGTATTCTTTTGGCGTTTCCAGTAAGTCATTAATTAAGGTTTTTTTTTTCTTCTTCACTCTACTAACGTTTTTTCTTGATGATTCTCTTTCAAGCTCAGGTTTTTGTAGTATTTCTTCAGTGTTTTCAGTAAGTCTTTCGTTAATCATTAAGTGGAAGGTTTTTTTTTTTTTTACACTAACATTATTTTCTTTTTTTTCCTGATGATTCTCTTTCAGGTTCAGGTTTCTTCTCTTCAGTGCTTTTAGTAATCTTTCGTTAATTGTATTCTATTTTTTTTTTGCTTTACTAACATCTTCTCTGGATGATTCTCTTTTAAGTTTGGGTTCTTGGAGTATTCTTTTGGCTCTCTGGGTTTTTGAAGTATCTCTTTGGCGTTCCTGATAAGTTTTTTGTTAATTGTGGTTTATTTTTTTTTTGCTCTACTAACATCATTTCTGGATGATTCTCTTTTAGGTTTGGGGTTCTTGGAATATTTCTTCAGCTCTCCGGGTTCTTGAACATCACTTCAGCATTCCTGGTAAGTTATTCATTAATTGTGTTCTATTTTTTTTCATTCTACTAACATCTTTTCTGGATGATTCCTTTTTAGGTTCGGAGTATTTCTTCGGCCCTCTGGGTTTTTGAAGCATCTCTTTGATGTTCCTGGTAAGTCTTTCGTTAATTGTGTTCTATTTTTTTTTTGCTCTACTAACACTATTTCTGGATGATTTTCTTTTAGGTTCGGGGTTCTTGGAGTATTCCTTCGGCTCTCTGGGTTCAGAAGCATCTCTTTGGCGTTCTTGGTAAGTTATTTGTTAATTGTGTTCTATTTTTTTTCGCTCTATTAACATCTTTTCTGGATGTTTCTCTTTCAGATTCGGGTTCCTGAAATATTCCTTCGGCTCTCTAGGTTATTAGTATATTTTTTCAGCAAACTTTTTTGGTGGTTCTCTTTTAGGATTGGTCTTCTTGCTATATATATATGTGTTTTCAGTACCTTTTTGGTAGTACTAAATTTTGGTTTGTTGGTTTGTTTTTTGCTGTTTGTACTTCGTTAAAACGTGTATTAGTACGATTTTTTTTTTTTTTTTTTGGCGGATATTAGCACTGAATTTTTTTTTTTTTTTTTTTTTTTTTGGCGGGTATTAGAATCGAATCTTTTTTTTTTGGCGAGTGCACACAATTAGTAATAGGTATACGGGTTTGTGAAATTATGATGTAATTAAATAATTATGACTATTGCTGTGTAATAATGTTATAATATAAAAATTTTAATAAAATTTTATTGACTAATTTTCTGACAAATAACTTTATTTAATAAATAATAAATAATAAATATACAGTATATTAATATATAGTCATTATTATATCATTATTATATAATATATTTTATTTGCTTGATTAATCATCGTTTGATATATCTGTAAATAATTTTGTATTTTTTCGCATATATTCGCATATTTTCAAAAATTTTCGAAAATTTTCGAAATATTTCGAAATATTTCAAAAAAATTTTAAAATATTTTTGAAATTTTTTTTCGAAAACTTTCGCAGTAAACGAAATTTTTTTGAAAAAATTTTGGTATGCAAATTTTTTCAAAAATTTTTGTTTATATTTTTTGCTGATGAAATTGATGCAAAATTCAAAGAAATAGCGCAATAAAATAGACAGACCAAATGGGCAAAAAATAAGGTTTGATCAAAATAAGTTGATGATTTGTATATACAATGAAGCTGTGAACAAGCAAATATCTAATAAACAATGAGATAGACAGATCAAGCAGGCAAAAAAAAAGTGTGATCAAAGCAAAATCACAAGAATTATAACAAAATATATATAGTCATAGTTGTAAAGCAATTAAATCATATCAATTAAAATACAGGTTAAAATTTATTAGTTTTAATCTCAGATTAAATTTTTTATAATAACTGGGGTTAAATTTTATCATAATCACTAGGGTTAAAATTAGTTATATTCAATTATATAATTTATAAAGTTAAATAATTCGAATTAGTTTATATTAGTTTAGATTAATTTTATTATAGTGATTTCAATCTAAATTTATATAACATAAAATTATTTACTTTTTTTAAATTTAAATTTTTTTTATCGAATTTTTTTAATTATTTTAAATTCTTCTTTAATCGTAGTATTTATTTAAAGACTAATCTAATTGTAACAACATGTTATATATAACAAATCTGGAAAATAGTCTGACTATAGTAACCTGATGATCGATGAATAAAATCAAAATTGTGCCAAAATTTTTACAACTTTGATCAAAGGTATCTTGATGTCCAATCGACCGAATTCAACAAAAATTTTTTTATTTGAATTCTACAGAACTGTAGAATTCGAATAAAAAAATTTTCATTGAATTTGGTTGAGTGGGTACTGATATACCTTCGATCAAAGTTTGAGAATTTTTAAAATGCTTATTAGAAATTGCGCAAAAATTGTTAACACAACTTTGATCGAAGATATCTCAGTACCCACTTAGCCAAATTTGATGAAATTTTTTTATTCAAATTCTACAGTTCTGTAGAATTTGAATAAAAAAATTTTTGTTGAATTTGGTCAAGTTGGTACTGAGATATCTTCGATCGAACTTTGAGAATTTTTTAATAGCTGATAATATAGAAACTGTGCCATACAACTTTAATCGAAGATATCATGGCACCTACTTGACCAAATTTGATAAAAATTTTTTATTAGAATTCTACATAACTTTAGAATTCAAATAAAAAAAATTTCATTGAATTTGGTCAAGTGGGTGCCGAGATATCTTCAATTAAAGTTTGAGAACTTTAATATGCCAATAATATAGAAACTGCATTAAAATTTTATAACAACTTTGATCGAAGATATCTCAGCACCTACTCAACCAAATTTGATAAAATTTTTTTTATTCGAATTCTACAGTTCTGTAGAATTTGAATAAAAAAATTTTTATTGAATTTGGCCAAGTGGGTACCAATATACCTTCGATCAAATTTCGAGAATTTTTAAAATGCTTATTAGAAATTGTACCAAAATTGTTAACACAACTTTGATCAAAGGTATCTTGGTACTCACTTGGCCAAATTCAATAAATTTTTTTTTTCGAATTCTACAGTTCTGTAGAATTCAAATAAAAAAATTTTGTCAAATTTGGTCAAGTTTGTACTGAGAAACTGCACTAAAATTTTTAACACAACTTTAATTGACGATATCATGGCATCTACTTGACCAAATTTGATAAAAATTTTTTATTAGAATTCTATATAACTTTAAAATTTGAATAAAAAAATTTTCATCAAATTTGGTCAAGTGGGTGCCAAGATATCTTCAATTAAAGTCTGAGAACTTTAACACACTGATGATATAGAACTGTGCCAAAATTTTAGAACAACTTTGATCGAAGATATCTTGGCACCTACTTGACCAAATTCAATGAAAATTTTTTTATTCGAATTCTACAGCTCTGTAGAATTTGAATAAAAAATTTTCATCAAAATTGACCAAGTAGATGCCGAGATATCTTTGATCAAAGTTGTTCTAAAATTTTGGCGCAGTTTCTATATCATCGACGTGTTAAAATTTTAACTTTTAATATCTCAGTACACACTAAACCAAATTTGATGAAATTTTTACGTAATATTCACATAATACACTCCAACATAATCATGTACTCTCACACTATCATATGATTATTTACTTCTTTTTTAATAAACATTTTATTTAAAAAAAAAAAAAAGAAATAACAAACAATAACTTTATGATCCAAACGACGATTCTAATTACTTCAAAAATGATGATTCTACAAGAACGACAATTCCAACAGGCGAATTCAAGCCTGGAAGAGAATAGTTAGTAAACATATATATAAAAAAAAAAAACACACAAACAAATGATAACTTACCTAACTACAGCAACAATTTACTCCAAGAGCGATGATACCAACGATGAATTTAAGCCTGTAAAAAGAGAAAAGTTAGTAAATAAAAAAAAAAAAAGAAACAACACAAATAATAACTTACCTGACTCCAGCAATAATTTACTCCAAAAATGATAACAAATTCAAGTCTGAGAAAGAGAAAAGTTAGTAAATACAAAAAAAAAAACAACACAAATGATAACTTAACTGATTCAACAACGATTTACTCCAATGACGAATTCAAGCCTGGAAGAAGAGAAAAGTTAGTAAATACAAAAAAAAAAGAAAAAAACAATACAACTGATAACTTACCGATTTCAGTGTCAATTCCAATGACAAATTTAAGCTCGGAAGAGAGAAGTTAGTAAATACAAAAAAAAAAAAGAAAAAATATCAATAATAGCTTACTTGATTACAGCGATGATTTACTTCAAGAGCAGCGATTCCAACAATGAATTCAAGCATAAAGAAGAGAATATTTAGTAAATACAAAAAAAAAAGAAACAATACAAATGATAACTTACCAATTTTAGTGACGATTCCAACTACAGATTCAAGCCTAGAAGAAGAGGAAAGTTAGTAAATACAAAAAAAAAAAAA